GTGTATGAGGGGCGGGGGGGGGGGGGCGACCGCGCATGTCGCCCTGGGCAGAGCCCTATGCCGCGATGCGCGACGCGACAGGTTGAAAAAAGCGATTTGTACTGCTTGTGTGTGGAGTGCCGTTGTGATTCGAATGCGTGGACTGCCAATTCGTACTGCCGAAGCCCTCACCTCCGCCCTCTGGATTTCATCCTGCAGCAGCGAGCAGAAGCGCCCCAGGACGCCCGCGGCGGTCGACTCCGCAAGCCCAGGCTCCCGCAGAGGGTGCCCGTTCTGGACACGATTGAATTACAGGCAGAGGTGGCAGGTGGCAGGCGGCGAGATGGACCTCGTTTGTGTAGCGACGCATACATGAATATGCTATACGCCCAGGCGGTGCCATACATAGAGTTTGCCTGCATTTTCAGCCTGCACTTTCAGACTCAACCTTGATTTCCGCACCTTTGCGAGGTATGCGGCGGCGCCCAGGACCATGGAGGCGTGCAGGGGGCGGGCGCTTTGAATGTGGTCGGCGTTGAAGGCCTGAGGTGCGCGGAAGGCGGGGGCGCCCGGGAGTGAGCGAGGAGGCGGGAGTGTGGAAAGACGAGAGGGGGAACTGACAGTCAGGGGGCGGCAGGTGGGGGCAGAAGGGCGGTGAGTGGAACCACAAAGGCAGCTGCTGCTGCCAAAAGCGCGTGCGGGCCTGCTGCAAGGGCACGGAGCCCACAACGCTCTCCTGTACGCTCTCCCGCTACCCTTGCTGTCCCCCCTTCAGAACACAAATTATACGCACAACCAATCAAAAAGCCAGGCTTCTCAATCGGTTGAGAAACACAAACAAAATCACCTCCCTTGGCCCGGCAGCAACATCCGGCGACAAGCTGCACCCAAAGCCATCACTCAGGACCACCCACCTGCAGCACGTCGGCGAAGTGGGGCACCATTGCCTGGGAGAACGCCCCAACCGTCGCCAGGCGTCCCCAAGCCCACAGGGCCGTCGCAAGCTCCCGGGTACCCGCCTGCAGTGCCGCCCGCGCAGGCGAGGTGTGGGGGACGGGCGGCGCGTGAGAATTTGGGAGCTTCGGGGACCAGAGGGCGCGGCGCAACGTTCGCAGGCGCGTGCGTGACAGAGAGCGGGCGAGAGAGGGGCGGGGAGCGCAGCCGGGGAGCGCACAGAGAGCGACGG